AAAATGTGATTTAATAATTAAATTCCTTTATTTTAAATTACGTTTGTGAATAGACTGAAAGCCAACCACTATTAAAAATGGGTGAGAAATTATTAGGTTGACCTTCACGTGGTGTTTCTTGTTCAAACTGACAAACCTAAATTTTTTTACATACCGTTGCGCCACCTATTTATGGCACACTGTGAATCTGTACCTGTGATATGCTAAAAAAGAGTGCCGAGCAATAGTTTAATACAACCATCATTTGTTGTGCAGATACAACCATCAATGGCTGGTATTCATCAACATATGAACAATAAGTCAATTCTCGGTTTTGAGGCAAAACTACTACTGATTTTAAGTCAGTGTTTAAATTTCACGTTTCAATTAATTGATTGCAACAACAATTGGGGCCACAAATTGGCTAATAGCACGTGGGACGGTATGATAGGGCTTATATCACAAAATGTAATTATTATTAATTAAATAAAAATAATTAATTATTAATACATTGAATTTATTAATACGATAACTATGAATAGCACTCAGACTTCGGTATCGGAACCGTTAGTATAATTGAGGAGCGGTTAGCTGTGGTTTCCTATGGATATCCCTATTATATAACAGGTGTTACATTCACATCAATGATATCCCCAGCGGTAGGCTATAGCACATCACTGTTGGCACCATTTAATTATCAAATCTGGTCATTCATATTGTTATCACTGATAATTCTAACCATAATCAATGTATTAGCCTATTATCGGACACATGATTTTATATTGAGTTATGATTTTATAGCAATATTATTGAATCAAGCAATACATAAGATTTCATTGGAAACCATAATCCGATTGCTGATCATTGAATGGCTTTTTGCTGTATTTGTATTGAGACAACACTATTCCGGGGAACTGTACGGACAGATGGCTTTGCCCTCAAAGGCCCCGACTATTGATACTATCGATGAATTATTTACGGCTAACTCTAAAGGACAAATTAAGCTCGTTATATCGGGAACGCAGGGATTTTTATTGGGAATAATGAATATATATGTAAAACATTAATATAATAGATACTGACAAACCTCTCTAATGGAAACAGGATCCAATTGCATAACAATAGTGTTTCCTATGGAGAGGTTTATCAGTGTTATAATATTATCAGTGTTAAATTAAAATATAATTATAAACTTGTGTTTCAGAGACAATATATCAGTAATGAAGAGGAGTTTCAGCAAAACATAGCATTTGTGTCGAATAGAGCGCAAGCCTTTAAAATGATGGTTAGATTTCCTGATAATTATTATTATATAATTAAACGACATTATATTGAACTGGAAAACCGTAAAACACGTGTCAACTATTATTTGCCTCCAATTTCTATGGACTCTAATCTTTTCAACGATTATATCGCCATTGCTTTTAATAAAAAATTTTTATTCATCGAAATGTTTGATAAAATGTACGTAAATTTAAATTTAAATTTTTTATATTTAATAATTGTTTGTAAATTAATTTATTTTGCAGTATTTCTCATATAAATAACGCGGCACTTATAGATCATTGGATTGAAAATTATTATTTGAAAATTTTTAAACATTATTCTAAAATCAAAACAAATAGTGAAAAATACGAAAATGCATTAAATTTAAATCAATTGAAATATGCATTTAATGTTTGCATTTTTGGGTATTTATTATCAGTAATCATATATTCTATGGAAATATTTTATTCAACTATTATTAAAAGTTACTTTTAAAACTTATTTTTATTACAATAAAAATTATCTAATGTTATAAACTATAAATAAAAAATAAGTCCTTTTATATAATTATTATACAACAATTTTTTAATTAAAATACATTTACATATTTTATTTCTAAACACTAATAAACTAATCAATTTCATTGTGATTTAATTGATTTTCATTAAGGTACTTAACATTTATGTCTTATTCATTTATTATACATTAAAGTTCTTTGACTATAACTATGTATATAATTTTTCCTACATTTAATGATATATAAGAAATATAATTATCATGTTTACTCCAAAAAATAATATATTGCACTTGTTCATCTTAATATAGGGAAACAATAAATCAATTCAATTAAGCTAATAATACCCTGAGACAACATTTACAATAATACATGTTGGATTAGCAAAAAATTAAACATTTTGAATCAGAACAAATTTATTTATTTTGGAACAAGTGAACAAGTTAGCTTAAAATTATTGTTTAAATAATGAAACCCAATTTAATGGGCAAACAATTAATGATTGCAACAAATGAGGTAACAATACAGTGAATAATTAAGTTGTTCAATCATGCCCAAATACAAATTATTTTACTCCACAACAAGGTATCTCCATTTACATATGGCATACATCGTTATATACACAATAAGACGGAACCCATTGATGGCATCGATGGCCTATTGATTCGGACATTAAGTCAATGGTTTAATTTTACGTACAATTTCATTGAGTGTAACAATAAATACGGCACTAAATTAGCTAATAATACATGGGTTGGTATTGTTGGCGAAGTTCACCAACAGGTAATTATGATACAACCAATTGTCTACAGTATATTTAACCATGTTTGTATCAAAAAGTTGTATTAATTAATTTTAATTATATAAGAGGGCTGACTTAGGCATCGGAGACCTGAGCCTAACCGCTGAGCGCCGGGAAGCTGTGCCTTACAGTCAACCCTATCATATCGGCTCCATTTCATTCACAGCACCCGTATATAACACTACACAATACACGACATCACTGTTTGCACCGTTTGATTGTCACATCTGGTCATTCATATTGTTATCACTGATTGTGTTAAACATAACTAATATCGCAATTAATTATCATAGATATAAACGAGTGATAATTACATTTGATTTTATAGCAGCGCTAGTGAATCAACCAATACATACCCGATCATCATGTTTATCCATAAAATTTATTTTAATCACGTGGCTTTTGGCCACAATTATCATGAGACACAACTACGGCGGGGAACTGTACGCCGGGATGTCTGTGCCCTCCAAACCACAACCCATTGAAACGATTGAAGATTTATATCAGGCTATAATTAAGGGCAGAATAAAGTTTCTACTATTTCGCAATTCTGGATTTATTAAATATTTAATCAAATATCATGCAAGTCTTTAGTAATAAATTTAACTTAGTTAATTATCATGCTAAAATTTGATGATTTTTTACCATGATTAGAAATCACGCGATACTACGGGACTGGATATCATGTCAGCGCACGAACCGATTGATAACAAACAACAGGCGTTTGATTTGTTAACCCGTTTTCCCACTAAATATGTTTACATAACCGATAAACACGTGATTGAATACGGGGTCCGCACGAGTCGTGCCAACTATTATTTGCCCCCAAATAATGACAATTCAAATCTGTTTATTGATTTCATTGCCATCGCTTTCAACACACATTTTCCTCTTATTCCGGAGTTTAACAAATTGTATGAATTATTTGATATATTTTTATAATAAATATTATAATTATTTAAATTATTATTTTATTAGACTTTCAGATATATTAAGCGCCGGACTTATAAACTATTGGAAGGAAAGATTTTACGTAAAAGTACTCAACAAATATACAATTTATGGTCAAATTAGTGATAATCAGTGCGAAAGTGCATTGAATTTAACTCAACTTAAAACAATTTTTATTGTCTATTTATGCGGTCTTTCGTTGTGTTTATTTGCATATTGTATTGAAATATTTAAGTTGCAATTTATTGATCAAAAATCTAGGTTAATAAATTATTAATAATAATAGTTTCATAAGGCCCTCGTTGGCGCACTTGCATAATGGCATAATAAAAACAATTTTACCATGCAAAAAGTGCGCCTAATTTTAATGGTGTAATTAAATGTAAACTTATTTGCAAAACAAATAAATATTTATTAATATTAAAATTATTTTTAGTTGTTTCTTAAAATATTTAATACAGAAATATAAAGAATGTTAAATAATTATTAAAAATAGTGTTTCCAAATGCCATCACATGTACTCTCGTATGGATTGTCGAGAATAAGTGACATATCGTTGGGATTCAAGTCTTTCACTCGAACCACAGATTTGTCCCAAAGTTGTGGCCAAACGTCATGTGCTTTGCTATCAATTAATACATAATATATTTCAATATTAATTCAAAAACAATAAGTGACATATCGTTGGGATTCAAGTCTTTCACTCGAATCACAGATTTGTCCCAAAGTTGTGGCCAAACGTCATGTGCTTTGCTATCAATTAATACATAATATATTTCAATATTAATTCAAAAACATTCAACAAATACCCAGTCTTTGCAAAATTGGTCCACATTTTCATCACATCTATACTGAAGTCATAATCAGTTTCCGTAAAAAGTGTCGGATTTCTTAAGGGATAACCGAAAACAAAATCCACATCCGCGCCGTGACAGACGAGCCCTCCCTTACATACGGCAACATTAGATCTTTGCTTTGATTGAAAATTAAAACGATAAAAATGCACTTTTCGTCCACTTGTGGCCAATCTCTTTGCGAAGTAATATGTGGGACAAGTGATCACTAAATCGCCGTATAATTCATTAAACGCTGCCTTCAGTTGCGATGAATTGGTTTTGTGGACACCTTTGAGGTAATAATCGCACACTTCGTTCACATCTATGTTATGGTATTCGCGGCTCAAATCGCGGACCACTTTATAAAACAGTTGTGCAGTCATTTCGGACCGCATTTCTGGAAATAAGCCGTGAGTCAGTAGTGGGCCCTCGTCTTTGACAACACCGGCCATCACTTCAATGTCTGTTTTGAATATTAACTTATAATTAACAAAATTACGGTTAATATTAAATGATTATAATACAGTATAAACACAATATGAACATGCCCAAATTATATGACTCTCCTTTAAAAACTTTTTGAGGTAAAACGGATAGAAATTGTGTGCCAAACACCGCGTGTGTCATAATAATAATATTCCCGTTTTCGGGCGTCTCTATAAACAGGTTCGGGTCGTCTATTGCGCGCAAACAGTCCAACCATTTGTAGTCAAATTCATCGCAATTCAAACTTCGGGCCAAATGTTTGGCCCTTTGAAGGCCCTCAATAGTACTGAGCGCCGGACGGTCTCTGTTGTACATAAGAGACCCGCTTTGCATAATAGCCCTCTTGAATAGGCCTTTGGATAGCGGGGAGAGTATGTGTGCGGACACCGACCAACTCCCGGCGCTCTCACCAAAAATGGTCATCTGATCCCTATCTCCGCCGAATAGATGTATGTTTTCTCTTACCTATCATTAATTGAGTTAATGTTAAAAATGTTTGTTTAAAATAACATTAAATGAATACCCATTTGAGAGCCAATAACTGGTCATAAAAGCCCGCATTTCCGGGCGCTGTCTCATCGCCGCCGTAGAGGAACCCCAACGGCCCGACCCTATAGTTAACGGTAACCACAACCACATCATTGGTTGACAAAACACTGCCATTAAATTTGTCCATAAATATTGATCCCGTACTCAATGCTCCGCCATATATCCAAAACATTACTGGTTTAAGACCCACTTTCTGGTGATTATCATCATTATTGTCCACATTTGGTGTCCATATATTCAATACCAAACAGTCTTCACTTATCATTTCATTTCCCGTCAAAACACCAAACTTTGGTATCTTTTGAATGCAATCGTTACCAGATTTTGTGCCGTCTATTATACCCTTAATTACAATAATTTTTACATTTAATAAAATTATTTAAATACTAATTTCAATGCATACCTGTTTGGGTGCTTTGAGAGGTAGTGGAGGGGCGAACCTGAGTGGGCCTAAAGGTGGCTCAGCGTAGGGTATATTCAAGAATTGATGTATTTTGCGATTCAAGACATGGAGTGTCTGACCCCTCACTGAACCCGAACTCGTGTTCACATCAATACTATTCCCATCGCAAACACAACACA